ATGGGGCACTATTCCCACTGACACCAATGATGGGGCACTATTCCTCCCACTGACACCAATGAGGGGGCACTATTCCTCCCACTGACACCAATGACGGGGCACTATTCCTTCCACTGACACCAATGACGGGGCACTATTCCTCCCACTGACACCAATGACGGGGCACTATTCCCCCCACTGACACCAATGACGGGGCACTATTCCTCCCACTGACACCAATGATGGGACACTATTCCTTCCACTGACACCAATGACGGGGCACTATTCCTCCCACTGACACCAATGATGGGGCACTATTCCTCCCACTGACACCAATGATGGGGCACTATTCCTTCCTAGATGAAGTCGAGGCTTGGTACTGCCCCCTCCTCACTATTGGTAGATGAGGTGGCATGTTATTTATTTCATTGTAATGCAGGAGACACATTATATGTTTAAAGTCGACCCATCTCTAACAATACCCCCAGTCTGTATCCCCCTCCCCCCCCGGTAAGGGATTCTCCTCCCCCGTTCGCAGTTCTTCGTTCTGCACGGCATGTTCTGTGATTTCATACAAGGATGAAGTAGCAGGCCGGGAGGCGTCCGTGGATCCCTCATATCACGCTCTCTCTAATTCCTGCTTGATGATTAAATGTATAGAAAGACGATGATTGTGCTGCAGCCCCCCTAATCCCCCATACTCCGGGGAGGAATATTTATCCTCGCCCCCCCCCTACGCCATGCCCCCCCCCCCCCCCCCCCCGCCATGCCTTTAAGAAGCAGCCAACGCATGTCAGCCGGCGAGCTGCGAGCGGAAAGTGCTGCCTAAGGTTCTTGGCACGCCTTCCCAACTGTGAGTGGCAAAAGGAAGCACCTGACAGAGGCGGTGAGAGAAGACTTGGCTGGGGGCCCCTCCGGGCCATGAATCTTACCCCCCCCCCCCCTCCGGCACGAGGAGCTGGAAGGAAAGCTGAGTCCGCTGGCTGGGTCAGAGGGTGAGAAGAGGACTAAAGAGGACCTGTCTACGAGCGAGCCTTTGTACTCCATCACTGGGAGCGAACAACACCAACTCATATACTAGGGGGCCACACCTCATATACTAGGGGGCCATGCCTCATATACTAGGGGGCCACATGTCATATACTAGGGGGCCGCACATCATATACTAGGGGGCCACATGTCATATACTAGGGGGCCATGCCTCATATACTAGGGGGCCACATGTCATATACTAGGGGGCCATGCCTCATATACTAGGGGGCCATGCCTCATATACTAGGGGGCCATGCCTCATATACTAGGGGGCCATGCCTCATATACTAGGGGGCCACATGTCATATACTAGGGGGCCGCACATCATATACTAGGGGGCCACATGTCATATACTAGGGGGCCATGCCTCATATACTAGGGGGCCATGCCTCATATACTAGGGGGCCATGCCTCATATACTAGGGGGCCATGCCTCATATACTAGGGGGCCACATGTCATATACTAGGGGGCCGCACATCATATACTAGGGGGCCACACATCTATACTAGGGACCACACGTCATATACTAGGGGGCCACATGTCATATACTAGGGGGCCGCACGTCATATACTAGGGGGCCGCACGTCATATACTAGGGGGCCACACGTCATATACTAGGGGGCCACAAATCATATTCTAGGGGGCCACACGTCATATACTAGAGGGCCACACATCATATACTAGGGGGCCGCACGTCATGTACTAGGGGGCCACACGTCATGTACTAGGGGGCCACACGTCATATACTAGGGGGCCACACGTCATATACTAGAGGGCCACACGTCATATACTAGGGGGCCGCATGTCATATACTAGGGGGCCACACGTCATATACTAGGGGGCCACACGTCATATACTAGGGGGCCACACGTCATATACTAGGGGGCCGCCAGTCATATACTATTTTCAACCCCTTGACACAGAGCGGCCACATATTTGTGTACATGTGCTGAGAGCGCACGCCCATCACACATCCAGCACGTATGTTGGTGTCTCACGGAAAGGTCCCGATCTCCCTTTGTGATCGGGACCTTTTCCGATTATGTGACCGCCGTGATGGCGAATCACGGCGGTCACATGACCCTAAAATCCCGCCCTACCTCCCGGCTTCTGAAACCCCTTAAAGGGCCGGGAGGCACCGGCGTGAAGAGGTTAAAAATCCGAAAGCATTCAAAAATATCGATCTTGGTGTAGGGATGGGGAGGGAGGGATTTGGGGTCTTCTAGATCCCTCCATAAAGAGGACCTGTCTACATTCTTTGTGACAGCAATAACAGCGGTTACAAAAAAAAATTAAAGTTCCCCCCTGCACAAAGGCAAACGTACGCGTCGCTCCCGCACGCAAACAGCGATCATCCCACACATGTGAAGGATCGCCGTGATCGTCTGATCACGGGCAGTAATTCCAGCACCAGACCTCCTCTGTGAATCTAAAGGGGTCACCTGTAAAGGATTTTAAAGCATCGCCTATAGATAGTAACATTTACGCCGTTTGTCGCCGTTGCGCGGGCGTGCGCAGCTTTAAGGTGTTCCATGTTTGGTATCTGCTTACTACTTACCAATACCCATGTACACTGCTATATACTATGGGGGGGGCAGGGAATAGAACAATCCGGATTGTATTCCGGGATCTGCGGGGAGATGGGAGGATAAAGCCGGAGTTCCCTCTGGGATCGCCACGCTGTGTGCTGCCATCTTGTGGATGAAGTCATAGCACAGGAGATCCAACGAGTGTTTGTTCTGTGACTTTTTGTTCTCTTGTTAGATTGTATCATGTGGATAGAAAAGAAGGATACAAAAAATCCATAGAACCATAGAAGATTCCATCCACTCCACTCATAGAACATTCCATGCAGTCCACTCATAGAACATTCCATGCAGTCCACTCATAGAACATTCCATCCAGTCCACTCATAGAACATTCCATGCAGTCCACTCATAGAACATTCCATGCAGTCCACTCATAGAACATTCCATCCAGTCCACTCATAGAACATTCCATGCAGTCCACTCATAGAACATTCCATGCAGTCCACTCATAGAAGATTCCATGCAGTCCACTCATAGAACATTCCATGCAGTCCACTCATAGAACATTCCATCCAGTCCACTCATAGAACATTCCATGCAGTCCACTCATAGAACATTCCATGCAGTCCACTCATAGAAGATTCCATGCAGTCCACTCATAGAACATTCCATGCAGTCCACTCATAGAACATTCCATCCAGTCCACTCATAGAACATTCCATGCAGTCCACTCATAGAACATTCCATGCAGTCCACTCATAGAACATTCCATCCAGTCCACTCATAGAACATTCCATGCAGTCCACTCATAGAACATTCCATGCAGTCCACTCATAGAAGATTCCATGCAGTCCACTCATAGAACATTCCATGCAGTCCACTCATAGAACATTCCATCCAGTCCACTCATAGAACATTCCATGCAGTCCACTCATAGAACATTCCATGCAGTCCACTCATAGAAGATTCCATGCAGTCCACTCATAGAACATTCCATGCAGTCCACTCATAGAACATTCCATCCAGTCCACTCATAGAACATTCCATGCAGTCCACTTATAGAACATTCCATGCAGTCCACTCATAGAACATTCCATCCAGTCCACTCATAGAACATTCCATGCAGTCCACTCATAGAACATTGCATGCAGTCCACTCATAGAACATTCCATGCAGTCCACTCATAGAACATTCCATGCAGTCCACTCATAGAAGATTCAATGCAGTCCACTCATAGAACATTCCATGCAGTCCACTCATAGAACATTCCATCCAGTCCACTCATAGAACATTCCATGCAGTCCACTCATAAAAGATTCCATGCAGTCCACTCATAGAACATTCCATGTAGTCCACTCATAGAACATTCCATGCAGTCCACTACGGAACATTCCATGCAGTCCACTACGGAACATCCCATGCAGTCCACTCACAGAAAATTCCATGCAGTCCACTCATAAAAGATTCCATGCAGTCACTTTAGTGTGGTGAATAGACATGTGCAGAATGAAAACATTTGTTTTCTTTCATTTCGGATCGATGCGTTAAGCTACTCATTTTCGTTGCATTCATAACAAAATTTGTGTAGTTTTGTTTGAATTTCGGAAGACGGCTATATTATCCTTTTCTGTTCTATTCTTTTATGTCTTTATGGACCTTGCTTTGTGCACTGGTGGGCAGTCATGTTGGAACAGGAAGGGGCATCCTCAAACTCCTCCCACAAAGTTGGGAGCATGAAATTGTCCAAAATGTCGCTTTAAGAGTTCCCTTCACTGGAACTAGGGGGCAAGCCCAACCCCTGAAAAACACCCCCACACCATAATCCCCCCTCCACCAAACTTTACACTTGGCACAATGCAGTCAGGCAAGTACCGTTCTCCTGGCCATCACCAAACCCAGACATGTCCATCAGATTGCCAGACAGAGAAGTGTGATTGGTCCCTCCAGAGAACACGCCTCCACTGCTCTGGAGTCGAGTGGCGGCGTGCTTTACACCATGGCATCTGACGCTTTGGTGATGGAAGGCTTGGATGCAGCTGCTCGGCCATGGAAACCCATTCCATGAAGCTCTCTACACACTGTTGTTGGGCTCATCTGAAGGCCACACCAAGTTTGGAGGTCTTTAGCTATTGACTCTGCAGACAGTTGGCGACTTCTGCGCACTGTGCGCTTCAGCATGCGCTGACCCCCCCCGCCCTGTCATGTGACGTGGCCTACCACTTGGTGGCTGAGTGGCTGTTGTTCCCAGTTGCTTCCACTTTGTTATAATCCCACTAACAGTTGAGCGTGGAATATTTAGTAGCCAGGAAATGTCACGGATGGACTTATTGCCCAGGTGACCACCTATCACAGGACCACGCTTGGAGTCACTGAGCTCCTGAGAGCGAACCATTCTTTCACCAATGTTTGTAGAAGCAGTCTGCATGCCTAGGGGCTTGATTGTATACACCTGTGTCCATGGAGGGGATTGGAGCACCTGAATCACATGATATGGAGGGGATTGGAACACCTGAATCACATGATATGGACGGGATTGGAACACCAGAATCACATGATATGGAGGGGATTGGAACACCAGAATCACATGATATGGAGGGGATTGGAACACCTGAATCACAAGATATGGAGGGGATTGGAACACCTGAATCATATGATATGGAGGGGATTGGAACACCTGAATTACAGGATATGGAGGGGATTGGAACAGCTGAATCACATGATTTGGAGGGGATTGGAACACCTGAATCACATGATTTGGAGGGGATTGGAACGCCTGAATCACATGATTGGGAGGGGATTAGAACACCTGAATCACATGATATGGAGGGGATTGGAACACCTGAATCACATGATTGGGGGTGATTGGAACACCTGAATCACATGATTTGGAGGGGATTGGAACGCCTGAATCACATGATTGGGAGGGGATTGGAACACCTGAATCACATAATTGGGGGGGTTCAGAACCCCCGAATCACATGATTTGGAGGGGATTGGAACGCCTGAATCACATGATTGGGAGGGGATTAGAACACCTGAATCACATGATTGGGGGGGATTGGAAGACATGAATCACATGATTGAGGGGGATTGGAACACCTGAATCACATGATATGGAGGGGATTGGAACACCTGAATCACATGATATGGAGGGGATTGGAACACCTGAATCACATGATGTGGAGGGGATTGGAACACCTGAATCACATGATTGGGAGGGTGGGGACAATACTTGGGGCAATATAGTGTGTGTGTATATATATAAAGGGTCTTCGTTGGTTGGTGAAGCCAGTTTCCACGGTATGGCCTCTTTCACACCTGTGGCCACAGAGGGGATTGGAACACCTGAATCACATGATTGGGAGGGGATTGGAACACCTGAATCACATGATTGGGAGGGGATTGGAACACCTGAATCACATGATTGGGAGGGGATTGGGACACCTGAATCACATGATATGGAGGGGATTGGAACACCTGAATCACATGATTGGGAGGGGATTGGAACACCTGAATCACATGATATGGAGGGGATTGGAACACCTGAATCACATGATTGGGAGGGCGAGGACAATATTTTGGGCAATATAGGGTATTTGTCCGGGACACAATGATGGGGTCTCTTGTCTCCATTCTGCCCGTGCTCCCCCGCCCCCCGGCTCCCCTTTAAGGCGCGCTCCTGTGATATCCGCCGCGTCCCCTCCCTCCCCTCCTATGTCAAAGTGACACCTCGGGAGCTGACTGCTTGTAAAATGCCCCCTGGCACTTGCTGACAGTGAGGATATGCACAGCAAGTTAAAATCCTACCTGATCAATAAAGGAGAGGAGGCCGTCCGCCCCAACAGTCGATATTTTTTTATCTGTCTTCAGCCCAGTCCTGCGGATGACATCTCCCCCCCCCCCCCTCCGCCTCCGCCTCCACCGCTCTTCCGCCAGCAATGACACTCAAGGGCGTGAGCCCCCCGGCCACCGGCGATTTCATTTTGTAAAAATTCACATCCTCGGGAGAAAGAGAGAGAAAAAAATAAATAAAGTTGACTGGCTTGGCCTTTCCTTAATAAGATCTTTATGATTTATATCAATTTTTAATTGAAAAAATTTGCGAATTAATTGATTTTTGGGACTTGCCAATTAAAGGCTGTAATTGGGCGCATGATGAATTCAGCCGGATTCCTGCAGGCCGACCCCCTTTTTTTTTTCCGCGGCTCCCTCCTCCGTGCGGTGCGGGGATGACGGGTGAATGTCGGGTGATGTGCAGGCGGGGGGGGGGGGAGGTGGTGGAAAGGCCACCGGTTCTGTCCTCTATAATTTAAGAGGAGAGGACGTGAAAGTTAATAAGGACGGCGGGGACAGGGGGGGACGGGGGGGGGGGGGGGCGCGGCATAAATTAGACGCAAAGTCCAGATCGTTAACTCTTTCCTTGCTGAGGACCCCCGGCGTGTATGCCGTATATGAAAGGCTCCTCTCCTGGACTGGAATGGCTGCCTCTGATTTCACTGCACACTGGGAGCTTCTCACAGTGTGCATTAGAAGCCTGACTGTCCCTGGCTCCGCCCCTTTCATTCATTAGAGCTCCGCCTCCTTTCCTGGCAGGAGGACGTCCAGCACCCTGTAGTTCTTTCCTCCCCAGCCTGACTGTCCCTGGCTCCGCCCCTTTCATTCATTAGAGCTCCACCTCCTTTCCTGGCAGGATAAAGTCCAGCACCCTGCAGTCCTTTCCTCCCCAGTCTGACTGTCCCTGGTTCCGCCCCTTTCATTTATTATAGCTCCGCCTCCTTTCCTGGCAGGAGGACGTCCAGCACACTGTAGTGCTTTCCTCCCCAGCCTGACTGTCCCTGGCTCCGCCCCTTTCATTCATTAGAGCTCTGCCTCCTTTCCTGGCAGGAGGACGTCCAGCGCCCTGTAGTGCTTTCCTCCCTAGCCTGACTGTCCCTGGCTCCACCCCTTTCATTCATTAGATCTCCGCCTCCTTTCCTGGCAGGAGGACGTCCAGCACCCTGCAAGGTTTTCCTCCCCAGCCTGACTGTCTCTGGCCCCGCCTCTTTTCATTCATTGGATTTCAGTTCTTTCCACCATGGAGGCTCAGCATCACACGTGGGCGTCACCTGCCTAGGAACGCCCACTACTTCAGACTGACATCCACCTATCAATGCATTTTGATATTTGCATAACTCCTCCCACTGCTTGCATCAGGCTCTTGGGAGGAGTGCTGAGGCAGGGTGCTGTGATGTTTTCAGCCAGCTCCTCCACCCAGCCATGATCTGCCTGCATTGCATAGAGAACCTCAGAGACCCAGCGGTGATGTCACTGGGTCTAAACTAAGATTTTGTCATGAAAACAAAAAGGGTTTTTTTGAGAAATGTCATTTGATTCTCCGACACCGAATTCTGACTATTGGCGGCCCCAAGATATGGTATAAACCAGCGAGTGGCGTAACCCATCAGGCTCCGCCCATAGCTGAAAAATCACTTTTATATAGGCCTCTTATAATGTGAATTTTGTAGAATGTAGAAAAAAAGTGGAATTTTGATCTTTATTAACCTATTTATGTCTTAAAGTGTAACTCTGTAGAAGGGGGAGGAGGCATTTCCTCAGTCTTTCCTCCCCCAGTGATCAGACTGTACATTGTAACTTTGTAGAAGGAGGCATTTCCTCAGTCTCCCCTCCCCCAGTGATCAGACTGTACATTGTAACTTTGTAGAAGGAGGAGGCAGCATTTCCTCAGTCTCCCCTCCCCCAGTGATCAAACCAGGGGCAGACTGACTATTTGGAAACTTGGGCACTGCCCGAGGGCCCGGGATCAGTAGGGGGCCCCATGAGATGCCCCTGTTACCTTTTTCATAGGCTTTTTTGAGTTTGAGCAAGGACACAGGGGCCCCATGATCCCCTATTGCCCGGGGGCCCATGAGTTGTCAGTCCACCCCTGGATCAGACTGTACATTGTAACCTTGTAGACGAAGAAGGGGGTCATTCCCTCAGTCTCCCCTCCCCCAGTGAGCAGACTGTACAGTGTACCTTTGTAGAAGAAGGAGGCGGCATTTCTTCAGTCTCCCCTCCCCCGGTGATCAGACTGTACATTGTAACTTTGTAGAAGGAGGAGGTGGCATTTGCTCAGTCTCCTCCCCCAGTGATCAGACTGCACATTGTAACCTTGTAGAAGGAGGAGGAGGCATTTCCTAGGTCTCCCCTCCCCCAGAGATCAGACTGTATATTGTAACTTTATAGAAGGAGGAGGAGGCATTTCCTCAGTCTCCCCTCCCCCGGTGATCAGACTGTACATTGTAACCTTGTAGAAGGAGGAGGAGGCATTCCCGCAGTCTCCCCTCCCCCAGTGATCAGACTGTACATTGAAACTTTGTAGCCAGTCACAAAGGGGCAGATCTGTGTCAGACATTTGTGAACACAGCCAAGAACTGCACATGCACCAGGATTTACATTAAAGTGTCATCTCTGAGCCGGGAACCTCAGTCCAGGAAGTCGATGTGGAAGATGACGTTGTCCTTCTGGAAAGAAAACCAGACAAGGACATTGTTCGGGGGACACCTGGAAGTGTCACACTTACATATCATGGAGCATGCTCAGTCCACTTCAAAAAGAGACCCCCCCCCCCCCCCCCCCATCTGACTGTATGGGATTTATGGAACAAAATCGTTATCAGACATGTCCTAGCAGCAGGTAATTTGGAACGAATTGTCACCACCACCCCGGCCTCTTCCCTCCGGTTCCGGCACCACGAAGCCTACAGACTTATTATCTGATAACAAGGCAGCAGGCGAGAACCTGGGCAGGTGGGGTGACAGATGTCATCTGCTGCAGGCGCATGAAGAGGTGTTTGAAGTTGGAGAGACGAGAGGGAAGGGATCTGCAGCTGCGATTTCCCTGCGAGGAGCGTCATTACACCTCCGGTTTGCAGAGGCTTGGGCAGATTTTCAGTCTGACTTAACCTAATCCCCGTGTAGGCCCTTCGTAAAGCGAGCAGATCAGGGGGGATAACGTTCGAAATCCCGCTGTCTCGTCTGCTAAATCGCTTCCATTCAAGGCCGCCGTCCCAGGAAAAGGAATGAGGACTCGTTTAGAACCTTCTGTTCTATCAACAGACAAACACTTCGCCGTTCCGGGGGAAATAAATTACGCTTCAAATCTTTCCACAAGAATTGTTTGATCAGATCTGATGCTCCAATCAATATCCCCGGCTCTCCGCGATAAGCCCGCTGCTGTTTGCACAAGTCGCTTGTTTTGTCACATAGAAAATACAAAGGGAAATCTTCATAGAAAGTCGCAGAAAAAACGAACGTCGGATAAATGGAAGATATAAAAAAATTAAATCTGCGATGTAATTTGTTGTAGCAGCTAGTTGGAGGACGCACAAATCTCAGATCTGGACATCGAAGGTCAACTTCAAAGACAAACATGGTCGTCCACCAGTGGAATTTTGTCCGGACATTCACACTGAAAACCTCTCGTTTGGCTGGGTGATCTGTGATATAATTTGTTGTAGCAGCTGATTGGAAGATGCACAAATCTCAGATCTGGACATCGAAGGTTAACTTCAAAGACAAACATGGCCGTCCACTGGTGGAATTTTGTCCGGACATTCACACTAAAGAATGTTGACCACCATGGAAAAATCTCATCATTGGATACAAAATCAAAATCTTCAGACTCTCGCTTGGTTCGGTCATCTGCGATATAATTTGTTGTAGCAGCTAGTTGGAGGACACACAAATCTCAGATCTGGACATCGAAGGTCAACTTCAAAGACAAACATGGTTGTCCAGCGGTGGAATTTTGTCTGGACATTCGCACTGAAAACCTCTCATTTGGTTCTGTCATCTGTGATATAATTTGCTGTAGCAGCTAGTAGGAGGACGCACAAATCTCAGATCTGGATATCAAAGGTCAACTTCAAAGACCAACATGGCCTTCCACCGGTAGAATTTTGTCCGAACAGTGGCACTGAAAACCTCTCGTTTCTTTCGGTCATCTGCTATATAATTTGTTGTAGCAGCTGGTTGGAGGACGCACAAATCTCAGATCTGGACATCCAAGGTCAACTTCAAAGACCAACATGGGCGTCCACCGGTGGAATTTTGTCTGGACATTTGCACTGAAAACCTCTTGTTTGGTTCGGTCATCTGCGGTATAATTTGTTGTAGGAGCTGGTTGGAGGACGCACAAATCTCAGATCTGGACATCAAAGGTCAGCTTCAAAAACAAAC